TGGTGCCTTCTATTTGCACATTTGCCGAGGACCCTACTTTTATAAATGGGATAGATAGATGGGTAGATAAATACCTTTTATCTTTTATATAAAAAATAGATTTGACATTTAATCTAATTTTAAATATAAAACCCTATATTATTATTTTTTTTATTTATATATTTTTTTAAAGTAGTTTTTTGTTTTTATAGTAACTGCACATATTAAATATACATAGAAAACTTAGGTCAAGTATCTTGAGTCTATTAGGTCCAGTCAACCAATCAAACATTGCGACCTAAATCATTTTTACATATCAGCACTTAACCCTAAAAGTTCTGTTAAACCGCCGTTAGCCTAATTAAACCCCTTTTCTACCCCACATGGTTTCAACCCGGAAGAGAAATTCCTGAGTTCATCCATGGCAGCAGAGCTCTTATTCACCATCGGAACACCACCGTCTCTCTTCTCCCCAGCATTTACCCGACTCACTACTTTTCAGACTGGACGCTCTCGAGAAACTCTTGGTTGCCAGTGACGGGTTCGTACTCGCCGGTTTTCGATTGTCCTTCCATAATCTCATTGCTGAGAAATCTAGCGCAGACTGAGCAAGAACAGAGTATCCTTTGCATCGCCCATTTAAATGGCTTCCACTATTCCTTTAGGTTCCAAGCTGGGCAAAGGCAACGGAGTGGTCATGATTCAAAAGGTTTGAGGATAGTAGAGATCATCTTAGAGAGGTGAGGAGAGAGAGAGCATCACTGTGGAAGTGGGAGAGAACCATCAATAGATGAATGTTTTGCTTCTGGACTAGTGCGATTTGCACAAAAAAATAGGTGTCGTAAACGTGGCTGGGGAAGAAAGAGAATAAGTCATGGACTCATGGTTCAAAGTCCCAGCAGCGGAGAAGACGAAATTTGTTTAGATACCGAGCGGGGCATTTTGATGGAATCTTTGGGTTAAGTGCTACAGTGTCAATATTATATAATCCAGGTGGCAATATTTGATTGGTTGACTGGACCTAATGGATCTAAAGCACTTGACCTAAGTTTTGCCTTAAATGTTTCGTCAAATAATAATTATAGTTAATATATATGATTAATAAGAATATTTTTAAAAAAACAACATATACTTATTACAAATAACTAACTTTAATTAGTTTTTTAATCTATTTAAATTAGTCAACTAATTTTTAAATTAAGGACTGAAATTAATAAATAATACTCCTCTAGTCCTTAATATAGGACCTAATTCTTGAATTGGTTTTGGTCCTAAATATAAGACTTATTTCTCATATTTATTAATTTTCTCTAAATAACCCTTATGGATACTCCCTCAACCATAATCAAGTAAAAGAGGGAGAGGGGTACTAAGAAAAATGATTATGGTGTTTTAGAAAAAATATATCACATTTCTTATAATTAACTAACTTACCTAACTTCCTTAATCTAATCAAATTAGTTAAATGAGTCTTATATTAAGGATCGGAAGAGTAGATAGATAAATAGGCTAAAACACACACTCTTACAAAGTTGGAGTTACGTTTTTAGCACCTGATCTTGTTGGCCGAACTGTATAGAAGTTAACTACTGAAACAATCCTGGACCAAAAAAAAAAAACTACTGAAACAATCCACGTTCAAAATCTAATAATGACAACATCATCATTTTTCTCTTTTGCCTTAACAAGTTAGAAATAAAACAAAATAAAATTTGAAAATTTGAAAATTTAAAAATTGAATATGCTCTGATCCAATCACCTTGCGCTCTAAGATTCTGTTAAATTGAGTAAATTAAGATTCTCATTCTGGATGTTAAATTTCCTTCAAATCCGTGCCACATCACTCATTAAACGCGCAAGTAGTTATTTTCATTTTTCTCTAATATTTATATAATGAATGGGTGGCTTTATCCGGCTTTTTACACTGGCTTTTACATGATCAATATAAAAAAATGTCACTTTCAATTAATATGTTTTTTTCTATATCCGCTAGCATTAACAAACCTGCCTCATTTGATGGCATTAAATAACGCAAACTCAATTAATTTAATTAGTATAGAACTAGCAGTACATATCTGCGCATTAAAATGACATTTATACCCCTCTCCTTTCTTATATATAATAAGCTATGAAATTATATCAAGTGCAATTAGTAAGTTGAAGAGAGTGAAACATAGATTTGAGGCATCATGAGTAACGTTGCAAGTCTTCGTTTTGTCTTCCTTCTCCTCATGGCCATGGCCTATGTATCTCAAGTTGCCTTCGTGAGTCCACTTTTCTATTACAGTCTCTATTTTTATTTATTTATTTATTTCATCTAATAAGGTGTAAATGGATTTGGTTAGCTCTCTAACCTAATTCTCACAACATTTTGTTTACATGAAACTTCAATTCTCATCTAATAATTGAATTGATGAAAAGATTGATTCACAATTTAATACTCCTCTTGTCATAAATATAAGACTCCTTTCATAATATAAAGTGCACTACAAAAACGGTTTTATATTTAAAACCGGAGGAATATTATGATTCTGAATGAACTATAAATCAGTCAAAGCAAGCAATATAAAATAGGTTTTGGCCCAAGGGTGAAAACAAATCAAGTGGCCTGTCAGAAGTCTATTGCCTGGCATGTATTTGGCCGTGCCTAACCTGGCCTATTTTCCAAATGAAGTAGGCTCAGGCCTATTTAAAGACCTGTTTAATTTAATAGGCCAGACTTATACTCTTTGATAAGCCTATTAAGCCTATTAGGCTAGCGTGGGCCTGTTATAAATTTATAATTATAATATATGAGAAAATTAGTTAATAATACTATTGTTAATATGCTACTTTAATTTATTTTTTAATTTTAACGTATAGTTAATGGCTTAATGCTTCCATGGATTTTGAAGTTTAGTTGACAAGGGAAGATAAAAATATAATTTAAAATAATAATATCAATAAATACTATGATCTTTAAATTTTGAAAATATAAATAAAATAGGAAAGAAAAATTTTGTTCCAAGAATGATAAATTAATTAACTTACGTGTTATGATAATTAAATTATGATACCCTATTTATTCATTGTAAAATTAATAGTCTTTTCTCTTTATTTATCTGTCTTGATTTTAATTTTCATTTTGTACTTAAATGTAGTCTTGTTCCAAATTTTATCATACAATTAGAATTAGTTTTCAATAAAATCTTTGTAAATTGTAATTAAGATTTAAAATAGTATTTATGACACTAAAATTTAAATAAAAGACAAGACTAAATTTTTTTAAAAAAACACAAGCTTTTTAACAAGACTCAGGCCAGGCTAGACCTTTATACAAGCCAAGTTCAGGTTAAAGAATAAGTCTGTAACAGACCACGGACCAGACTCATGTCAATAAACTATAAAACAGGTTTGGCCTGTTAAGAACAAGGTCTAGCCTAGTCTGGCCTATTTTCACAATCTGGCCACAGAAATGACAATTTGGGTTGGCAAAATAATAGCCTCGTGAATGTTGGCTTTTTCATTCTGCCTCCCAAACTTGTGGTTTGACTGGCTGACTCATTTTTCTTCAATTTTTTATTTATTTTTTATTTTAGTACTTGTTCTATTTTAGCAACTTATTTCATGTTTGATTCCTCATTTCTATTTTAGCAACTTATCAATTTTATATATAAAGAGAAATTATATGTAAAACATAATATATGTTTATATATACAAATTCTTAGTTAATTTAATTAATTTTATGAAAAATATAAGAAAAACTTGAATTTAGTTTATAAAAATTTTACTTTAATTTGAAAATTAAAAATATTTTTAAAAAATGGAAGTTCGCAATTGCGGATGACTTGTATTACCACCTTTACTTCAATCTGATGAACGGTAAATTTTTGTGTGTGGAGATACATTTGGAATCAATTTAATTGGTCTTGATTGGTTCAGCTATATTTTTTTTTTATTTTGGGATAATCAATTTTCTCTGTTAACTGAAGTGGAACCACGATCTGAAGTTAAAAAAACAAAAATAGAGCCAAGATCAAATCATATCGTAATTCTTCAATAGTTGAATCAGTGAATTTGATCTGATTCTCAAAATAGTGACTTCATCCTTGTCAGTTAACCTAACTAATTAATCAGCTGGTTATGTCTTTTTTCTTTTTCATCTATTGATTAAATATGGATGTTTTAATTCAATTTTCTAAATTAAGTAACTGATTTTTTCTACGAAAATAATCTATTTTGTTGTGTTTAGAATTTAACTAATAATAGTTCGAAGTCATTATCCTAAACAGTTGTGAAAGTACGCATAATAATGAATAACTAGATTTCTCCCCCGTGCGTTGCACGGGAAGTGATATTCTGAGAAGTATCAACCATAAAAGCAATTGAAAATGGAAAAGTATGAATTGAAGCATGAGGTAATATTCACATTTTGTAAAATCGAAAAAGATTTAATGTCATAATGAAAGAAATTAAGATAACAAACAACAATAACTTCATCCTGTCACTATAGCGTCTCTTTTAAAATCAAAGAGTAATAATTTTGACACAGGCAGTGGAGGTTTAATCACCCAATAAAAAAGGACACATGGCGACCCAATCAGCGACCATATTTGCTTTCCTGTGAATCAATCCATTGAATAAGATAATTTGTAATTTGATTTTTCATATGTAGAATATCTATTGTTTGAAACTTTTAATGTAATGAATTGCGTCATAGGTTAGGAAATAAATGAAGAACCTTTTTTTTAATCATTAACAACAAAGGTAAGGAAAGTAGTTTGATCAACTTGGGAGAAAGCACTATTCACATTAGTTTCTAAAAATTCTTAGTAGGTGTCATTGACTTACACTTAGGTTGAGATACATGACTGGTAGTGGAATAGTGTCATCTCCAGCTGATCATCTTGGAAAGATGTTGTAGCCATCACTGTAGAAATATGCAAAAGAAATTAATGAATGTAAGATATAAAGTACATAATTTCAATCAAGTAGAAAGGCATTTAGAGTTAACAATGAATCACATGTATGGGATAAATTACCAATGAGCTCCACACAATGTTTTGAAATATTTCTCTATAGACCACATTCATCGTCTTGTTGGTTGGCTTTTTCTCTGAATCAAGTATTAGAATTTTGATGCCATCCATAGATCTAACTCTTGACAGAGCAACATATAACTGGCCATGTGTGAAGACAGGTCTAGGAAGGTATAGGCCAACATTGGTCATTGATGGTCCTTGACTCTTGTTGATTGTCATAGCAAATGATAGGATGATGGGAAATTGCCTTCTTATCAATGTGAATGGTAGTTTAGATTCTGATGGATTCATATCCATTCGATGGATCAAAACTTCTTGACCTTGACTTGTGCCATTGAGAGCGATTGCTTTAATAAAGTGTTTACCAAGAAATGTGATCCTCAGTCTTGTGCCATTACAGAGTCCTGCAGCCTGATCTATATTTCTCATGAGCATTATAGGAACTCCTACTTTCAAGGCAAGTCTATGTGGAGGTAAGCCAGAGCATTTTATTGTGTTCAAGAATTCTGTTGTATACAACTCTTGGAATGAGGTGTTGCCTTGATCAACAATACTAACAGAATCAGAGCTAAAATATTCAACAACTTCAGTAGGTAGTAAGGAACACATATAATCGTTAATTTGCTCAACAACTTCAATTGTTGGTGCCAGAATAGCTCTATTAGTTAGATATGTTGAATCAGTCAAATGATCTAATAGATCAGGATATGTGGCATGCACAATTGATTGAAGATGATCATGAGAATCTAGAATTAGAAGATCATTTGGGATTTCTATCTCTGCCATGCCATCATGAGGCAATCCAATCTGGCCATCACCGATGTCTAAAAGCCAATTTGAAAATTGTTGTAACCTTGAATCATATGTGGATGAACTTGTAGATAACCGCATGTTTTTTGTAAGTTGGAATAACTTGCAATGACACCATAAATGAGAAAAGTTGATGCATGAATTGATGACATCCGCACGACTACCTTTCGGGATCACAGGCAATATTTGTCGGAAGTCTCCTCCCATGACAATACATTTGCCTCCAAAGGGATGGTTGCACTTCATAATATCTTTAAAGGTCCGATCAACAGCTTCTATACAAAAACGTTTGACCATTGGAGCTTCGTCCCAAATAATCAACTTTGCGAATTTGATGAGGTCGCACAATGGTGAATTTTGTGATATGTTACATGTGGAGTCTTCATTAATATCAATTGGAATTGCTAATCTTGAATGTGCAGTTCTACCTGATGGTAATAAGGTTGCAGCTATTCCACTGGATGCCACATTGATCACTATTCCACCTTGAGCTCTAACTGATGCAGTGAGTGCTTTCCATAAGAAAGTTTTTCCTGTACCACCAAAACCATACACAAAAAAGAACTCATCATTTGGATGGTTCATTGCATTCATTACTTGCTGGAATATAGTATTCTGCTCATCTGTCAGTAATGCTACCAATCTATCCGCTTCTCTCTGACACATATCTCTGTCAAAGTTTAATTCTTGAAGGACCAAATGATTCCTGATATCAAAATACTCGGTAGATATTGCCGTTGGCATTAATGGGTAATCATGGAGAGATTTGCCATTTATCTGTAGCAACTTCTCAATCTCAATCAAGCATGCCTGTTGCTTGTCATCATCACTTATGTTTAAATCTGTTTCATTCAATCAATAGTAATGTTATAAATTGAAGAAGACAAAACAAACTTTATGTTTATGAAAATTGCATAGAAGTATTTTGTAGTTGAATTTACCTGCAGACCTAGGGTTATTTCGAGGTACGTAGAACATGTCCTCAGATAAGAGATTTTTTGTTTGTTCCCATATCAGGTGTGGTTGTGATATGCAATGACATAGTAGCATGGACACAAAGAATCTCCTGAGATAACATCCTGTAGCCCAAAATGATGCTTCCTTTATTGTGTCAATGAACTCTTGATCATCATGAATTAATCCAAGAGCATAGCAAGCAGATCGAAAAGTTGGGTAGACAACATTATCTACAGTTCTTATCTGCTCATAACTGTGAGGTCCCTTTACTTTTGTCAATAGTACTCTAAGGTAGTATATTTCACCTTGAGAGGGCGATGCATGTGCTAACCTCCCAACCGCAAATCCCTTTTCTCTAAACTTCCAAATTCTTTTTTGCTTGTTAAAAGTATAATATTGTGGAAACTCAACATATGTCAAAGTCCTGGCAAATGGATCATCTAAATTTCGTTCCATCCATGCAAGAAACATTGATTCCTTAATTCTGGGTCTGTGAACTAATGAGCTAACTGATTCCTTGTCTAAATAGAAAACAGCCTGTTGATCCTGTAAGTGAAAACTCAAGCGCTCTACAGAGGGATATCTATGATGGATATCAAATGAAAAAATACGCCATGCACCTTCACAGGAAGAAATGTACCTGCAGTTCAAATAATGAGAGATCTCGTCGAAACCATTGTTTCCATTGTCATAGTGATCATTGTTGTATATGCCAGCAACAACTCGATCGTTTCCTTTACTAACATACTTGAACAAATATTTTATTGCAGTTGATTGATTTGTTTTCTCAACATTAATGTGGACATGAAATAGCTTCAGCAAAGTGGCATTGTAAGGAACAACATATCTATTATCCAATGGAATACCCTTCCTATTAACAGTCTTTCCATCGTTTCTTCTCCTATATGTAGGGTAACCCTCCTCGTCTATCGAGGTTTGGTTAACAAATTTTTTGAGAAAGTACTTAGAGCATTTCCCATTTTTCATGCAAGGAGATCTCTTGTTAGAAGCTCCACACGGTCCATGGATCATGTAATTGCTGACAAGATCATATAGTAATGGATCTCTCTCTTTATCTGGTATTTCTGCAGATATCATTTTGTCTACATCATCAGGAGTGTTTGGTTTATCAGAAGGATCTAGAAATAGAATAATATGAGCATGTGGCAAACCTCTCTTCTGAAATTCAATAGTATAAATTTCTGCAGGAGGAAAACGTAATTATTATTTAATGTTTAAGAAAGTCATTTTGTCATATCACAATTTGGTTAGGCAACTCAACTAAAAGCATAATTTTGTGTATAATGATTGAAAGTATGCATGCAAATTTTAAGTATATTTATGCATGTTTGTATAATGCATTTAAATGTTACTTTATTCTACTTAGTCAAAAGTTATTCTACCTTGATAAAAGTTGGGAAACAAATTCTACTGTGACAAACACATGATAAAATAATAAAAATAAAAGCTTAGAAAAAGTTTTTATGGTAACCCGCTACTTCCTAACTTGAATAAATAAAATAAACATAGTTCTTATGAATATATTTAAATTAAAAGTCAATATATTAACACAAGGAGAAAAAAGGCAATCTGCATTACTCAATATATAAAATGAGACGCATGATTTTAAGTAACAAAAGTATTGCAAACAGTATAGTGAGGACCAATTGTAATAGTAAATTTATTTATGAATTTCAATTAACTATGCTATGATAGTAGATTGGCAAAATATATAGAAAATAACACACCGATAGGAGGATTAAATATTACCTGCTCTTACTTTTCCAAAATTTTTTTGTTCCTTAATGATTTTCATTAACGCTTCAAGCTTCAGCTTGAATATTCTGCATAATATGTCTAGTCGATCAGCTGGATTTAATTTATGCCTGTTGCAGAATCTCTTTACTTCTGGCCATGCTGGATTGTATGTGAAAGTTAAAAATAAGTTAGGATAACCAGTAAATTTGCATAGTGCCATTGCATCTTGATAGTTTTGTACCATATATCGGGCTCCCCCAGTAAATGAGGATGGAAGTATAATCCTTTTTCCTGTGCGAGATGGATCTGTCTCACCCCTGGTGAGTGCATTAGTGAGACCTCTGTACATGTCCACCCGTAGCTCTTTTTGATGATTACGGATATAATTGAGTCTTTCACTCTCTACCATTGTATATCCGTCAACAATGAATTGTTGAAGTAGCCTTTTGGAGTGTAGCAAAACAGACTGCTCATTATTTCTATCCATCAATCTAAAAGATAGGTACTCCCGTGGGGTTAGAGTCTTCCTCTTTTTAGTCTGAGTAAGAGTGGTTTCACGATGTTTAATGGTTGAATCATATCCATTATTTCCATAGTGAAAAATAATAGGATATTGCAGGGGAATGTATGCTTTGTGCAATTCATCAATTCTTTGCAATGCTCCAGCTCTTTTCTCAACAATTATGTCTCGTTTGAAATATGATCTATCAAAGTCTCCAACCAGTAAAGCAGCAACCTCAGATGCTGTTGGCATATCATAGACCCTATCACTGTGATCTGAATTCCTAATGAGACGAATATTGACATTAGAATGCTGGTCACGCTTGAGAATTTAGATGCCATCGATAACTAATGACAAGGCCATTGTGTTTGTCAAGACAATCCTTTATTTCTTGTGTAATTCCTTGATCAATTGCAGACCTATGACAATGCTTGCTGAACAGAAGAGTTAGTGTTGTTAGTAAGAACACAAATAATGTTTCACAAAAGAAGTCCCAATGTCTAAACAATGTTTAAGTAGCAATGATAACGGCAAACTGATTTTTCTTTTGAGAAAGTTAGTATCACATTTTATGGATCACTTATGCGGAGATAGTTCGGCCTTAATTTATTGGGACATTTAAATCTAAGGCAATATCAATAATAATTTCATTGCTTATTATTAATTCATGCGATGTTTTTTATATGTACAGTACAAATATTAAGGCTGACAAAGTATATTATTGATAAGGACTGCAATAATTTATTAGAAATTATGATTAGAAATTCAAGCTAATGATATAGACATTAAATAAAGTTATAAGTTGGTCATACCTGACAACGGATATTCTGTTAGATATTTCATTTTCAGTATCATATATATAGAGCTGAGAGTAGACTGGCTGAGATCCTTCAGGAGGTAGCAAGCTTCCTAGTAAGTGGTAATTCTGACCAGACATAACGAAAGAATAGGGACCTGCTCCAGTGTTATTAATAGAATGGTTTATCTTTCCACCCATTGAAGTGAAACAGAACATGTTATTGTATGCCCTTATATTTGACAAAAAACGCTTTGATTGTGGGTTATCTTTGTCAAAGAAAAGTTTACGAAATGTTTCTGGTGGAGGCTGCATAAGAGGAACCAATATTTTGCCATGGCAGCAACAAATAGAGAACAAAGGATATTCATTGGAAGGAGCTCTCTTAAGCCTTTCGTTAAACCACATCAAAGCACCATAATAATGGCACACATAATCTGCATCACCTTCATCAATATAGCCTTCTGTGGATAGATCGACGTTATCGTAATCATTTATATCTACGACGTCAACCTCACAATCTGAGTCACCATTCGCTTCATCTTCGTCTGCAAATTTAAAATAAAAAGAATTAATTCTCACATATGAATAATTTAGTGAGAGAAAGATACCCATAAATATATGAAATTATAACCTGCACCAACAGCATTATCAAGCTTGGGAGAAAGGTTAGTTGCTAAATTGGTAATGTTGCAAAGTCTGGAACAATTCACAGTAGCCGTGCTACCATTGTGTCTCAAATACGATAAATCTGCTGGCTGCTGAGTGTTTTGTTCAATTGTTCTGTCACAGATACCTGGATGTTGTGGTTTACTTACTCCTCCATAATCTGTGATATCTTTGGATGCAATCCTCGTTGAAGTTGTCATGGCTGAAGTGGAGCTTCCACGAAGTTGGGTAGAAAGTTTCGCTTGATAAGTAGGTGCAATATAGGCAGAGGTACTTCCGAAATGAGTGGATTGTTCTAACTGATCAGTGCTGTTGAGATAGCCATATATATTAGCATGACCACTTTGTCTTTTACCATGTGCAGATTCCGATATTCCTTCCATAACTGCTGAGGATACAGATTTCTTTCTTTTCGTTTGAATATAAATATCCACGGGAGAACTTTCAATGACATCATGGTGTTGTGCAGCATGAGTACTGCTTCCTGTAATTACAGAAAATGAAAGTATTTGTGAAATAAAAACAATACAGTAAAGCAAGGTCACTATGATGACTTTCAGGAGAGAGATGGATTGTCTAACCTTCAGGCCGAGACGCTGTAGTGCAACCAACATTCTTCCTTATCCTTCCCATGTATAGTGTTAAGATGAAAGAAGTACGTTCAAGTGTATTAATCAAGATATGAGAATAGGATATAAAAGACATGGAAAGGATGGAAATCAGAAAGTTACTTCGTTAGTTGACATTGGCGAAACGTCTTTCAATGCATGGGCAATATTGACTTCAATAGCCACAGGAGACAAGTTACTTATGGCGCACATGGGAAAAGTACTATAATACAATTTTGGATACACAGTAGGTTATTTTTCTGTTTGCCAACTGGGAACAACCCACGTCATTTAAAGGGTTATGAAGATTCGAGGTGCAATTAAAAGATGGGAGTCAGAAGGTCTGCTGAGCAGTATATAATACTTAAGTAACACTGGTTTTATTTTTTGTCGCCAGCATTTAATGTTTCTCGGAAAATGTTCAGGTGGGAATGTATTTATGAGTATTACCTCCCTAGAAATATTTAGTTGTAATTGATAGTTGATTAATTTATTCTATTTGACTCTTCAACTTACCCGTCACGGAACAAAAAGTTATTGTGTTCATTAACAATTTTGTTGATACATATGAAAGTATTTTTATTTTAATTTATGGAAGATGAAGTAAAATATAGACAATACAAGAGCGAGAATTGGCTGTGGAAAGGAAATAAGAAAATCAATAAATGCTTACAGTACGATTCATTTGGATGGTCCAATTCAAGTTTGTAAGCCAACAGTGTGAAATCCCTCGTCATCGAATTCATAAATTCCATGAAATGATTTATAGCATTAAAATCTTCACATTTATACTATTAATTATTTCCATTGAGTTTTGCGTGTGACGCGATTAAATATGCTATTAATTCATATATTTAAAATGCAATAAATAAGCATTTATTAGATTAATAGAAAGTGATTCACCAGGCATATATCACAATGGGTCCGTTTGGCGGGCTTTTGAGGGGTTTAAAAGTAGCTTATTTGTAGTGTAAACCGGATTGGAAAAATCATGGTGCATTTTTTGGCTACGACGTTTATTGAAAATGAAAAATAATTTAAAATATGAATTTACAAAATATAATAATTTTAAATTTTAAATTATTATAATAAGGACAAATTATATTTAATGAATAAAATATATTTAAATTACAAATCATAGTAATGTGAAGATTTTTGAACCTAATAATATTACATAATTAATTAGATGCTATATTCTGCATAATTTATGTAAATGTAAAATGAAAAATAATATTAAAAATTAAAAATATTAAAAATATTTTTACTCAATAAAAATAAATAATTGAAAACTGATTCGGAAACACAAAAAGTATATAGAGATAAGCATAAGAATAATATAAACATAAGAGTAAAAATATCTTTTAATTCTAATAAGCTACTTTTGCGTAAGTTATAAGTAAGTTTTGGGTATTTTTACAATCGTACCTAGGAAAGCAGCTTTTGACACCTAGAAGTTATATTTTTTAAACAGGAAGTAAAAATAATTTTCAATCAAATGATGCAAACTATTTCGCAACTCCAGTTTAAAAAATTGAAAGTTTAGTAAGCCTGATGCAACTATGACCATAAAGTGTGGAAATTCCTATAAAAAGGTGACAAAATATTTGAAATTAAAACACGATTAGATAGCAACTATAACAATGAAATGGTAGATTGATATCAATAAACATCTTCCAACGAAGACTCATGAACACTTAATTGATTTAGTATCACAAAACACGTCCAAAAAATGCAGTCCGGATGAAACTCAAAGCGAACATTTTTGCCAAAAAAATTAAAGCCAAATTTAATACAATTTAAAAGTCTAGATGTTCCCAATTAAATTTTCAGATATAGCTAGTCATTTCTCCTTCTTGATCTTCTTTGCCGGTTTGGTGCTGCTGAAGCTTGGAGGGGACCCTTCGGAGAGGCCTATATCATCAAGTTGTTCTGATTCATTTTTCCCGTTCCTCTTTTTCTTTGACAAGGTCTCCACAGGTGTGATTATCTGAGATATTGTAAGATCATCATCATCATCCGCAATGTTGTGAGTGCCAAGCATCTTGGGAGATGAGTATGAGGAAGATGACTCGATTGGTGAATTCTGTCCAGTAGAATAGTGGGAAGAGAATTAAGGGTATTTTTGAAAAATGTGATGGAGAATGATGATGGTATGGTAAAATAATTGAACGAACTATTAAGAATGACGCCGGAAAATATGCTATGACATGTAGAATTTAATAATCCAATTAAAATAGATTATAGTCTCCTGACCTTGACATTAGCGTTGGCATCAGCGCTGACATTAGAGTATGTGAACTGATCCAAAATATCCTTTTTCACAGAGAACTGTGACACTCCCATACTACTGGCAGGATATTTTATGTTGTTTTCCTTAACCTTGACCATTACGACAATTTCCTTTCCAACAGGTCGATCTAACTCTTTTGGAAAAGATCGAGACGACCCCACCTGATATCATAATTTATCAACAAAATAATTCAAATGACAGCAAGACAGTTTAGACTAAGAATGACAACATCCAAAGGTATAAACCCATGATACCTTCTTCTTAAGTTCAGAAGCTGAACATTCTAATAGAGCAGATGCATGTCGGTTGAAGAAAAGCATCGAACATTGTCCAGTGGAATCAAATACTTTGTAATGGACTTTGAACCTTTTACAAATGAACAACTAATTATATAAACGATGGAGATGAAGTATGGACTTCAATGACAATGAATAACTTTATACGTACTTGGGTTCAGTCTTAAGCACTTCTTGATTACAAGAAGTACACTTCATCAATTTATCATCAACATGCACTGGTTTTTTATCGCATGGACATCCATCATAGGTCCAACCATACTCACTCTCAACTTTCTGGATGGTGACCTTGGCGACAATTTGACTTTCCTATTTAGGTAGAAAATAAATTTATAATTAAATTTAATATATAGGTGTATGATTAATGACTAATTTGGTGAATGTGATATATATGTGATTAACTGAAGAGACAATAATTATCTGAATTATAATGGCAAGACTATATTAATTCGTGATGTCTAAATGTGTGACAAATTGAAAGAAAAGGATAATATCAACCTTTGTGAGTTTGGAAATTTCAGAAAGGGGAATTCTGGTTGGGAAAGTCAGGAGTGAGTTACTGGTAGCATCAAGCATTACGGTAGATGAAACTTATGAGAAGTTCTGACTTGCTCCAGGTGTCTCACCGAGTCTGTAGACATATTCAGATTTATAATGAATACTAACATTTGTCAAACAGTTGCATAATTTAGATATAAAAAGCGACAAAGACAATCAACGTAAGAGTAAACCTGGCAATTAATTCTCTGACTTCAGGGAGGTCTGGATTGAACAAAACTCTTGTAGCATGGAAAGCATTAGTTATATGTCCGTAACCTTAAATAAATACAGGGAGGTAAGTACAGAATATAACATCCAAATATAACTTGAAGTCATTATTTTCGCAATAAGCAAATACCTTTAGTTGTTGATATCCTTGCAAATCGGATGACAACTACAGTAGGAACTTCCAAATCATCAGTCCTAGCTTCAAATGCATTGATTGCCACATCTCCGAAAAGAGCCACGTTAATGGGGATTTGGCTGCATTAAATTAAGGTCTAATAAAAAATGAACTGAACAACGAAGCAGTAATGTATCTTATTATGAATGATTCAGAGGAGTTTGTGACTGAAGTGATGTTACTTATGATCAGCGATGGTGAAATTCAGTGTCTTTATGGTCTGTGAGTCTTTTTTGTGGTCAACCAAGTTTCCAAATGCTTGAAGGAACCCAATGACATCTGCAATTTTTTTTTTCATACGATTAGAATAAAACATAAAGGAGTGAACAAACATGGGAAGGATATGATTACTAACCAATCAATTCATAATTTGTAGCATTATAGTCAGCAATATCCTTTATTGGAACAAAGTTAAATGCATTTAAAGGGACTGCTAAGTCATGCTTTTGGAAAAACGTCATGGAGTGGAAACGAATCTTCCAAGTGTGATGACAAAGTTTGAAAGCATCATTGTTGGGCACAGCTACAAAGTTCTCAAACTGATATACTTCACCCTCTGTTATTTCATCCATGTATCTTTGTAATTGTGCTTTCTGGGACATAAAAGCTTCAACTCTATACCCCTGCACGTTTTCATTACAATGAGAGCCACAGAAGACAAATAATATGAGAATCGAAAATAAAGTTCCATTTTTTGTCAAACCTGTTCATCAACTAAAATCATCCCTACTTTAAAAATATCAAAAGGCAGTGTCTTTTTAGCCATAATCCATTTTCTTAGCACTCTCGCAACAATACACCAGGTATCTTTAGAATCATCTACATCTTTGATGAGATCATGATCGAAGTTTGCCATTTGTTGCTGTGATGGTACTGACCTGCACAAATTAGTTGAAGGAGAGAAATGTTTGAGGGCCTAACATAAGGTAACGTTTGAAGGAAATAACTGTTTAACAGGAAGTAGATACCTTAAAAGTTAGGCTGTGGAGACCACGCAATGTACAGATCCCTGATAGATTGTATGGTAAATCAGCAGCCTCAGTTTGAATTGGATATCTGCTTATATAGAGAATAGATGTGTGTATTAGCATGGTTGATAATATAACCAACTATAATGAATGATCATATGCTTAGAGCCGGCCTTTAGCAGTCTCGTTATGCAAACATGTGCACTGACATCGAAGAGGCAAATGCTGATTGAAGTATCCAATGCATTAAAGGATATAGAAGGGGAATCAGTAAATGTATAAATAAATATATCTACTGGAAATCTGAAATGGCCCTGCATTTTTTTTTGATAAATAATCTAAAGTCATTAAAAATTAATCAAATTATATGAAAAGTAATTATATAGATAACAACCCACGTCATTTAAAGGGTTAAGAAGATTCGAGGTGCAATTAAAAGATGGGAGTCAGGAGGTCTGCTGACCAGTATATAATAATAAGAAAGAAATATTTAAGTAACATTGGTCTTTTTTTTATCGCCAGCATTTAATCTTTCTCGAAAAAGGTTCAGGTGGGGATGTATTTATGAGTATTACCTCCCTAGAAATATTCAATATATATTAGATATATATTTAGTTCTAATTCTAATTGATAGTTGATTAATTTATTCTATTTGACTCTTCAACTTACCCGTCACGGAATAAAATTTTCGTTTGATTCAATATATATTAGATATCAAGGTCGGAAAATATATATTAGATATATTATTTGATATAAGCCCCATTTTATATTTTTATTATGAGTACAAAAGAAAATCATATTATTATTTAAACGTCCATACATTTAAGCATTTAAAAAAAAATGAAACTTTGCAGAGTAATTAATGAGATCTGGAAAAGTAGACGTCTCGAAAGATAAGCCACAAGGACTGTTGAAGGTATGATAGTCCAGGAATCATGGAAAATAGTGCAACCTCCATGAGCAACCAATCACAGTATAATGCAATAATTACAATACTTGAAAGGTAGGCGAGTAAATAGACGTAGAAAATGTAAAACAAATGACTGAAATGAAACGCATTGCAAATCAACAAAAATCCTAGCAGAACATAAGAAGATGATATTATGTGGTCCCATCCACGGTGGACGAATGGACTATTTGCTGAGGTGCACCAATCAGAATCTGTTTACGAGTTTTCTAGTTGATAAGTTGATAAGTTGATAAGTTGATTGATAATAATGTATAAACTAAAATACATTCCTCAAATAAATAATAACTAAAGGAATAAATTTAACTGAATTCTTAAAATAAAATTCAAAGTACGGCACACGTATAATAGTATGAAATTGAAAATGAAATAATACAGAACAATTTCTTTTGTATTTAATAAATATTACAAATTTCTATTTGTTGTACATTAAAAAGGAATTATTCTTATTCTTTTTTACCAACTATTTGTAACAATTCCGGACTTTATTTATTAATTTTTGTTTTCTTTTCCCTTTCTATTATCATAATTTTCAGGCTAGTGGAGAAGGATCACTTCATCCAGAACGTATGTATATGCTAATGCTATTCAATTTTAATTTTAATTCTCGAAAGCAAAATATTCTTAAAACTAATTTACATAAAATCCATGAATTTATGTCATATATAAATAACCTTCATAACATTTGAAATCTTACAATAAACCTCTCAACTTTTATATTTATGCAGATAACCCCCATACTATTACTTTTCATTATTTTTTTTTGCAAATAGATTAAAGTTTAAGGGGTTTATCTGCATAGACTTGAAAAGTCAAATGGGGTTTATTATTGGGAAAATTTCACTGTAGGACCGCAGAAGACAATTAATCTTAAAGAGCCCCCAAAACTTTCTGAAACCTCACTGCAGGACCAAGGGGCCAATTTGATATTAATTCCACAAACGAAATGACGCCACTGCCCCTAATCAAAACTTATTTCCTCCGAAAATGAGACATATTATCAGCGGGTGTAAAAGATGGAAGAAAGACAGAAAGGGGGGGAGATGGCATTATTTCCTGCCTCTCCCATGCAGTGCGCCAGTGCGAAAGGGAGATAGCTGACAACCATGAGCTGAGAAAACGCAGTGGCGGAGCTTCACTTTTGCGGTCCGTACCTCCGCCGTCTTTTGGACTTCAAGCTAGAGTTGGTGCAAGAGAGAGAAGTCGCAAGTGTGCCCTACAGTGTTACGTGTTCTCTGGAAGTAGCGTCAGGTTGGCGTGGGAGGTAAGATTTTGTTGTTAAAATTTTGGTTTTGTTGGTGTGATTTGGTTAGCACAGGTGGGTTGTGATGGGTGAATGAGGAAGAAATGAGTATTTAAGTGCATGGGCATGTAGGTTGGAAGTGAGTTGCAAATCTTACGGTTTTATGGTTTAAGAAATTCATGCTGATGCTGTTTTAAGTTGTTAAAGATGTGGTGTTTGTGATGTTTTGAAAAGTGGGTGCATATTAAGAATAATGCACTGCTGAAGGAACATAGGTAGGCGAAAAAGAAAGGGAAATGGGTGTGTGGGCTGGAATGGGTTATATGACAGGTAGACACGCAGAGGAATGGTGAAAATACATAGTACGATGGTAAATTTGGTAATTCTGGTTGTATGCGAGAAAAAGCAATATAATGTTGTGAAAATACTAATTCTTGTTGTCAATTGTCAAATTACTGATGTAAATGTACGTTTTGTCATACTTGAATGATGTGCAGCAGCAGAGGATAAATGGCTAGCAGTAGTAGGAAACAAGTATTTTGCATCTTTCATGTTAGAGGGCACTTTGTAAAGACCTCAGAAGGGAAATTCATTTATGAAGGGGGCATCATTACTGGAAGATTGATTAGAGAAGGGATGACATATGAAGAACTACAATGCATGGTAGCTCATGATGTGTGGCCAGGACTTGTGAATATAAAATGAAGTACACAGTTAGCTTTGACCGAGACACATTCTTGGATCTTGTTGACAATATTGGTGTTGGATAAGTAATTGAGTACAACAATAGTAGTGGCCATGTTTATGTTAGTGAGAATGAGAAAGACTTCACACAAGTGTCACAGCTAGACAGTGTACAAGAGTAAGTTGTTCTCAACTGGTTTTATTAAGATTGTGTGTAGGATAAGAAAGAATATGTCCAATTTTGATAAATTGAACTATAATACTCAATAGCTATATTTGTTTGTGCAGGTTAGATGATTTGGTTGGCCCTTGTGGAATGTCAGTATCTGCAATTGAATTAGATCTAGACACAGACAACATAAACATATCTTCCGTACAAGATGTGCCAACACTGATAGGAAGTGTAGGTATAGAAACATTGCCAACCCCAATAGCGGTGATGAATTCATCAAAGTGGGCAGATTTGTTGATGTCAAGAGGGCAAACCTTTGTTAGTGCTAAACATTTTAGAGAGGCATTATATAAGTATAGCTTTGCACACAAGTTTGGTTACCGGTACGTAAAGAATGATAGGCATAAGATGATTGTGAAGTGCTGTGTAGATGGTTGTCCCTGGGAAATTTCAGCATATGGTGTAGGTGAGAATAATGGATTCCTAGTTGTGAGAAGATTTAACCGTGAACACTTGCATTATGCACAAGACAACTTAGTTGTCCCTCAGAGAAAGAGGTGCAAACTTGCTTCAGCAGTCATAATAGATGAGTTGATTTCTTGCATGCACAAAGCTCCAAATGACATTAGACGGGATTTGGAAAGAGAGTATGGGTTGAGGCTCAACTACCAACAAGCATATAGGGCGAAAGAGAAAGCATTGGCAAAAATTCATGGTTGTCCGCAGGAGTCCTATATGCTAATCCCTTGGATATGTGAAAGGCTAAAAGAAAGTGATCCAGAAATGGTAGCAAAGTGGGTTGCATCATTAGATAATATATTTCAAGCTATATTTATTGCATACGGTTGCTGTGTAGAAGGGTTTTTGAAAGGTGGCAGACCTGTATTATATGTGGATGGATGCCACTTGAGTGGTCCGTACAAAGGAATGTTATTGGGAGCACAAGCGTATAACGCGGATAATGAATTATTCCCACTTGCATATGCGATTATTGGAGGTGAGACGCTTGATGACTGGGCATGGTTTCTTGGTAACATAAAAGATATTACGGGATCATTAGAAGTGACAATAGTATTGAATAGACACAACTCAATAAAAGGTGCAGTGCAAGTTGTGTTTGGAGGAGATCGACATGCTTTTTGCTACCGTCATGTGAAGGAGAATTACAGTGCTGAGTTTTTGAAGATAACCAAGGGAAAGAGGAGGACCAGTGGACAGACAAAGGAAGTTGCACTAAAATTACTTGATTCTATTGCATATGCAAGACTTGATAGAGACTTTGATTGCAGTATGGAAAAGCTAATGGCATTTTGTCCAGAATTGGGACAATGGCTTCAAACAAATGGAGACATTGAGTATTGGGCACAAGGCAAATTTCCTTACAAGAGGTGGGACAATATCACAACAAATCTAGCTGAATCCTTTAATGCTTGGCTTGTTGGTGAGAGGAAGCACAACATAGCTGTCTTGATACATAAGCACAGGGAAAAATTGGCAAACAAGATATACCACAGCAAAGAAGCCATGACGAATTGGAGCAATGGTGTGGGACCTAATATAGAGGAAAAGTTGATGGATCATATGGCCAGATCAGAAAGAATGGATGTGCAAAATTATGGAATGAACAATTTCAGGGTCAGATGGGGAAACCTAGATGTGCGGGTAAATCTTGTGTTACGTGAATGCACCTGCAAAGGTTGGCAAATGTCAGGACTACCTTGCCCACATGCATGTGCTGCAATCAAGAAGGTATATGGTAATATATATGCATATGTCGAGGATTGCTTTTTACTCTCAGCCCAAAAGAAAATTTATGGCAGACTCATGATTCCAGTTGAGACCCATGACATCCCTAGGCCAGATTCCCTTCGATATGAAGATTACTCGTCCACCATCTTCCTACAACCACCATTGACAACTCGGCGTGCTGGAAGACCCAGAGTTAGGAGGATTGAATCACAATTCCAGCAGAAGAAAGCGTATCATTGCTCAGGATGTGGTGAAGCTGGTCACACTAGAAAGATTTGCCCTAACCCGAACCCTGGGTGACTTTGTTGCTCAAAATGGTCTTTTATTTTTTTGGTTCAACACACAGCTACTTTTATATATAAATGAGCCCCACTATGTAGTTGTTGAGTTGTTGGGAAAGTAGCTATGACAACCCATTTTGATTTTTTGGTGGTGGGTTTGATTATATTTTGTATAGTGGTGTCAATAGTTGAAAAATTTCATGACAGTAGGTGACTATAGCTGTCGCAGGATATGTAGGCTGTAATCTGTCCACATGCGAATGGACTATTTTTAGTTGTAAATATTTGTATGTATGTTGCAAATTGTGTAATGTCACTTGCAAACGGAGATTCCCCTGCCTATCCACTGACGGACAGCTTCTTCAGGTAAAGGTCGTCATATGTAAATGGACTGATTACAGCTGTGAATATATATATGTATGTTTCCAATTGTCTAATGTCACTTGCAAATGGTATACGAAACCATACTTGGACAGCTTCTCCAGGTGAATCAGTCCACATGCAAATGGACTATTTTTAGTTGTAAATATTTGTATGTATGTTGCAAATTGTGTAATATCACTTGCAAACGGAGATTCCCCTACCTATCCACTGACGGACAGCTTCTTCAGGTGAAGGTCGTCATATGTAAATGGACTGATTACAGTTGTAAATATATATATATGTATGTTACCAATTGTCTAATGTCACTTGCAAATGGTATACGAAACCATACTTGGACAGCTTCTCCAGGTGAATCAGTCCACATGCAAATGGACTATTTTTAGTTGTAAATATTTGTATGTATGTTGCAAATTGTGTAATGTCACTTGCAAACGGAGATTCCCCTGCCTGTCCACTGACGGACAGCTTCTTCAGGTGAAGGTCGTCATATGTAAATGGACTGATTACAATTGTGAATATATATGTATGTTGCCAATTGCCTAATGTCACTTGCAAATGGTATACGAAACCACACTTAGATGCCTTTTCCAGGTGAATTAGTCCACATGCAAATGGACTATTTTTAGTTGTAACTGTATGTACCTATGTTGCCAATTGTCTAATCTCATTTGCAAATGGGCCCTTGCACACCTGTTCACCCACGGACACCTCCTTCAGTACGAGTAGGTCAGATGCAAATGGATTATCTATAGTTGTGAAAATATGCATTTATGGTGCGAATTGTCTAGTCCCACTTGTAAATGGGCTGTCCCACACTTAAGTAACACATATGCATCAGGTAAATCAGTCCACATGTGAAGCCAAGTATATGTCTTGCAAATTAGCTAGTCCCCCTTGCCAATGTGAACGGACTGATTCCACGTGTGAATATAGGTATGTATTTTGAAAATAGGCTAGTTCCCCTTGCAAATAGACATAAATCTCTGGGTAGCTTATTCAAAGTAATACCAAGGAGATGACCAAACCCCATTTCTTCTACCTTGCGCTTTAAATTTTCTTTGCCATTTATAAACTTTGCCATTTCCTTGAATTTTGTGGGGGAGCACCGAGTAGAAAATGGGGGGCACATATTTCTCCTTCTTCTTCTTCTCCTCTATCAGCTGTTCCTCCTTCTTCCTGTACGGCTCCCTGTCAGCATCACTCATCTCCCTCTAAATTACTGAAGCCGCATCTGTGATTGCTCCCATATTTCCATGCATCTCCTGCTTCTTTTGCTCCCAATATTCTCCCTTGAATACTTTCCAGCCGGTAACTTGTGCGTCCTTTTTTCCCATCTTCTTCCTGTATCCAATAATGACAAAGTCATTAGTTAGTACATTAAACAGCAACATTCATACCATCCAACATTTCTTGTAACATAAACCCGGAAATTGTATACACACTAATTATTAGTGTTAAATCCTTAACTTGTCATACGACAGGACATCAAATTGTTACATGCAAGTTAACTGGATAATGACACCATTCTTCGTGTAAATTAGCTAACATTCATTGTCAGGCCACAAAAGATCAGATTCCAACTAACATTAAATTATGCAACAGAGGTGGTTAATTAACTACTTTTTCATGTCAATTTCCTAACTTTCACACTCCAACATAGATCAAACAATTACACCGGCGAACAGTCGAAATTATGCTAATTGTTCATGTCAATTGCCTAATTTTCCCTGTAAGGCCACTCCAAACCAGATTCCCACAAACATGCAATTATGCAGCAGAGGTGGTTAATTAACTAATTGTTGAGGTAAATTTCCTAACTTTCTGAGTTCAGCACGCATCAAACAGTTACACATAAGCTAAGTGGAAATCCAGCTCACTGGTGGTGTCAATTGCCTAATTTTCCCTGTGACGCAACTGCACACCAAATTCCCACAAACTTAGTGGGTAATTGACTGATTCTCCATGTAAATTTCCTAACTTGACAGATTCAACAAAAATATGAAACCATTAGACAGGAGCTACGCGGATAATCCCCTAAATCCTCGTGTCAATTGACTAATTTCTCCTATGAGGCCCACTATGGATCACATGCCAACAAACATGAAATTTTGAATTGCAAGTTGTTACTTTACTGATTGTTCATGTAAATTCCCTAACTTCCAGAGTCCAACACACATCAACCACTTAAACAGAAGCTAAGTGGAAATTCACCTAATTACTCGTGTTAATCACCTAATTTTCCCTGTGAGGCCGCTGCAAACCAGATTCCCACAAACATGCAATTATGCAGCAGAGGTGGTTAATTAACTAATTTTTGAGGTAAATTTCCTAACTTTCTCAGTCTAGCACGCATCAAACAGTTATACATAAGCTAAGTGGAAATCCATCTCACTGGTGGTGTCAATTGCCTAATTTTCCCTGTGAGGCAACTGCACACCAAATTCCCACAAACTTAGTGGGTAATTTACTGATTCTCCATGTAAATTTCCTAACTTGACAGATTCAACAAAAATATGAAACCGTTAGACAGGAGCTACGCGGATAATCCCCTAAATCCTCGTGTCAATTGACTAATTTCTCTTGTGAGGCCCGCTACGGATCACATGCCAACAAACATGAAATTTTGAATTGCAAGTTGTTACTTTACTGATTGTTCATGTAAATTCCCTAACTTTCAGAGTCCACCACATCAACCACTTAAACAGAAGCTAAGTGGAAATTCACCTAATTGCTCGTGTCAATCACCTAATTTTCCCTGTGAGGCCGCTCCAAACCAGATTCCCATAAACATGTAATTATGCAGCAGAGGTGGTTAATTAACTAATTGTCGAGGTAAATTTCCTAACTTTCTCAGTCCAACAGGCATCAAACAGTTACACATAAGCTAAGTGGAAATCCAGCTCACTGTTGGTGTCAATTGCCTAATTTTCCCTGTGACGCAACTGCACACCAAATTCCCACAAACTTAGTGGGTAATTGACTGATTCTCCATGTAAATTTCCTAACTTGACAGATTCCCAGAAACATGAAAACCATTTGACAGAAGCTAACTGGATAAACCCCTAATTCCTCGTGTCAATTGCCTAATTTTCCTTGTGAGGCCACTACAGATCAGATTCCAACATACATAGCTGGTAATTTACTGATTTTTCGTGTAAATTGCCTAAGTTGACAGATATATGCACACATGAGGTTGTCACATGCAACTGGTTAGTCAACTAATTCTTCACGTCAATTGACTAACTCCCATTGTTAGCCCACAAAATCTCACATTCCAACAATCAACGGGATAAACCAAACAAAACAAACTCATTTGCCTAATCCATACAACAACATTTGCCCCTCCCAATTCTTTTCCTTATTCCTGCAAAATGCCTACAAACACTATAGCAATGCAGTTAACTACCAACACTAATTTTTCCCTAAATAATTAATAACTTTCTTACTTAGCCCCCACACAAACTCTTCATGCTATACTCACAAGCCTTCGCTCACTAAATCAGGAGCATTTGCTAAAGGGCAGTCGGGGAAACGGCCGAACACTATGTGACACATTGGTAATCATTCCTGGGTTAGAACCCAAAATGTCATTACCAAACACCCACCTTTCAGTGGGTCATTCCTCCTTAACCTACCATGAAAACAAAATCCAAGAAATCTACTACATTTAACGGGGCCCGCGAAGCTTACCAGATGGAAATCAGTGACTTCTTCTCGCCCTGCTTCTTCCTTCTTTGTCGATAGCCTTGCAAGTTTCCTCCTTTGTCGGCCTCTTCTTATTCTCCTTCTACTTTTAGTGATTACCACGAACCCGCAGATTGAAGCTGATGGAATTTTTGGGGGCCACGTCGAACACTTTTCGCAGATTGCGAGAGGCAGGAATCTTTCCACAGAGGTAGCACGTTCGCAGTCGGGAGAGGGCAGATTTTTCATAGAGTGGTAGCACGTTCGCAGACCGGGAGACGCTGCAGTTTTCCCAGAATGGTTGCACGTTCGCAGAGCAGGAGAGGGAACAGTTTTCGCACACGGGTTACGTTCGCATAGAGAGAGAGCGGGAGGACTTTTGACCGTCGCTTTTTCGCCTTATTTTCAAATTTTAGCGGAAGTAAAATGAGGGGCAGTGGCGTCATTTCGTTTGTGGAATTAATATCAGATTGGCCCCTTGGTCCTGCAGTGAGGTTTCAGAAAGTTTTGGGGGCTCTTTGAGATTAATTGTCTTCTGCGGTCCTACAGTGAAATTTTCCCTTTATTATTAGTACTTTCGGTTTTTAATATAAAAGTTAGTTGGGCGATTGAATTTAATTTTAAATATAAAATCTCAATTCACTTTATCTTTTTTTTTTAAAAAAAACCATTTTGTCTTTCATTTTTTTCTAAAATATCTCTATTGATTATAAGGGGTTCCTACCAAGGAATAATTCGAATCATCCCATGCATATGATTGAAGAAGATAGTTTTGGAAGATCAAAAATATTTGTAACAAATAACCTATTTAATTAATTCTTTTTAATATCTTCAAATTAGTTTTCCAACTCTTACATTCAGGACTAGCATATGAGTGCTCATCGTAATGATGAGTATCATGATACTCATCGTTGTGATGAAATCTAAGCCATTTAAAATCAGTTTTAAAAG